TGCTTTTGATGACCACTAAAGCTCCAGATTTAGTAAGAGGTCCCATCTCAAAGGAATTAGGTATACATTGATAAAACAGTACTCACAAAGTCTTCCTTTTGGCCCCTGTGAATGCCCATGGTACATGCAGATACATCATACACACACACATTGCACACACATACTACACACATATACAGAAAGAGAAAAAGAATGATAATATCAGATGACAAATAACTATATGCCCACAAGTAAGGCACATACCAGTGTGCTGGTATTTAGGATAGTAACCACCTACGGGAAGAAAAAGTCTGGGTATTTGAATGTGTAAAGTTAATGGTCTATGCAAAACAGGGGATAAAGTATAAGATAATATCAGAGGGAAAATAAAATCAGATATCACGACTGGTAGTTTGGGGATAGTGACAAAGACATGTGCTACAATACTAATTTTACCAATATTCTATTGGTAACTCTCAAGAGTTTTTCTTAGCCTGCCTGCCTGTCCTACCTCCCCCTTTCCTCTCTTCCTTCCCTTTACTTATCTCTCTTGGTTGGAGCTTAACTGTATAGTTCAGGCTTGTCTTGACCTTGAAATCCTCCTGTCTCTGCTTCCCACTGTGATGTGCATGCCACTCTGCCTGTCTGAACCTACATTTATTTTAAAATGTAAAGAGAAATACGTGGGCAGAACAACCATAGAAGTGCTAGGCTGTTATCTATGCCTTCGCCTTTATTTCATATCAGTACTGTTTGGAGAAGAAAGTATTGCATTAAATGTTAGTAGGAAATTACAACTGCTTGTTCTGTTTTCTATGTCCTATAATACTTTTTGGTCCTTTTCTCAGAAGTACAGCAAATAAATAAATCCCAGCAAAATTCTAGAAATCATAATTATGTGTTTTATGAGCACTGAGCAGAGATAGAGGTGGCTGAAATTCCAGGATGTGTACACTGGAGAATTTGTAGCAAATAAACACAGATGAGATAGTGGCTGTGAAAATATTTATAGTATATACAATCGTTTTTAAATGTTTATCTTATTAGTTTAAGTGGCCAGTTTCTTTCATGTTTCTAAATTGGAGGAATGCCATAGACCTGATTATATCTTGAAACAAAACATTTGCTAATATTTTAAATGTTGTTATTATAGTTAACATGGAGTAACGTGTGTGTGTGTGTGTGTGTATTATATACAATTGCAAATAATGATGATCTCTAGAAGCATGGTCCCAGATTTCCTTCTTGCTATTACCATTGTTGTCGTTGTTGATATTTTTTTCCACAAGATTTTTCTGTGTAGCCAGGATCACCTGAAACACACAATCCTTCTACCTCAGCCTCAAAAGTGCAAAGATTATAAGTGTGTACCCTATATCCCTCTGCCAATATTTTTAAACTAGACAAGATGATACAGTTACAAGTCATGTAAGATGATTTGCATTTATTCCAGCTATGGTATTGGCATTATTTCTTCATTCCATTTTGAAAACAACATCTAATAAATAGTGTTACTCAGAAGGTGAAATAATACCAAGGCCTTCTCCTTAGCAAGCTCTCAATGACTATTTGCAGTACCAGTGATGGAGGTAGTGATGTGCAGAGAAAGATGTACTTACGAAGTGCACAGATGGAGTAACTTAGGGGTGGCAGCTTGAATCAGAAGATAACTAAGAAGCTGAATTGCCATGGGGAAAGCAGTGAAATTAACACTACAGAATTAGTAAAATCGACATTAGAGTGGAGTCACATGTGAAATCCTGCCTGATGTTTTCAAGCTTTGAGAACATTTTCATGGCCTCTGTGGAAGAGGGAAGAAAATCAAATTTTGACTGAAATAAATTTGAAGAGACCCTGGGGATTTATTTGGTGCAGCACACTATTATCAGAACAGATGAGATCTCAGGTGCTCAGAGGTGGCCTTGGCTGGTGTTGAGTGGGATGCTAGTGGTGGTGGCTCCATGAACAAACATGTCCCCAGTGCTCCTCATGGGCAGGTGTGGGGGACTGTGAGGCTTGCCGCCTTCCCAAGGCTCACTTTAAACCACACATTGCTCAGGAATGCAACTAGGTGAGAGGTTCTGCAGGCTCTGTCATTTCAGGCACCTTTACCCTGGGAAAGAGACATTTTAACTACTTCAATGTTTGTAGGACTGACTTGGGAGATAATTTGATGCTATCTTGTCATAAAAAGCAAAACTAGTGGATTTCTTAGAAAGTAAAGACTGTGGTAAGTGATTGAAGGTCAATAAAAATATGAGGAAGATCACACTGGTAAGAGAAGTGTCCTCGTCTCACTTTTCAATTATGATATCATACCACCCCTGTGTGTGCATGCGTGCGTGCGTGCGTGCGTGCGTGCGTGCGTGCGTGTGTGTGTGTGTTTAGATTGAGCCTAAGGCCTTGTGTATGCTAACTGTATGATCTACCACTGAATTATACCCCAACCCAAATTCCAATTCCTAAGAGTATTTTGTGGTAATTATTGCTTAATGCTTCTTTTAAAAGGCAGAAAGCCATTGTAGAGTTAGTCTGTCATCACAGAACAAACTAAATATTCTACCCACAGTTACATTTTAGTCTCTTCCAAAGAATGAATGTTCCTGGCAATATGAGCAAGCAACTAACTTGTTCCTCTCTGCTCATGGCTTCTGATACTAACATTTTCTGTGACAAATTTCATAGTCTGCTTGTCATTTTATACTTTTCTATAGTGACAAAGCATGAAATCACAGGACAAGCCCAAGTCCAGGAAACAGACTTGTAACCACCATGTGCAGGAACGACAGGGTGGGAACAAGCATAAAGGGCCAGTGAGGGGATTCTCTGGCCATGGAACAATTCTTTATGTTGGTGGGGTGGTAGTGCTGTATGAATCTGGATAGTACAGGTGCATACTTAAATATATGTAAGATAGTGAGATGGGCAAGGCCAAAGTTCATTCAAATCACTGTAACAGTGTCAGCTGTAGTTTTTGGTTTGTTTGTTTGTTTTCTATTATTGTTGTTGTTCTAGGTTCTATGAGTCTATAAAATATGACCTTTTGGGGGAATTAAAAAATCTTTGTACTGTTTTCACATTTTCCTGTACTCCTAAAGTTAGCAAAAATCATAATAGGCAGCAGTTTACCAAGTCTGTGCTTTAGAGGTGCTAGGAATCAGAGCAGTAGGGATAGAAGGCAAGAGGCCTATAAGAAATTAAATTTACCCCTTCTAGTTTCCTAAAATGAGCCCAAAATATCAGCTTCTGTCTATTATTTGGATATTATTAGGGAAAATATGGTAATGAGGTGATATTCTGCAACAGGCACAATGGAAAAGGAACATTCCAGCTTTCACCGGGAGTTTGAGTACCATGCATCTGCTAGATGTGCAGGCTGACAGTGCTAAATCCCTTTGTACATCTGCCTGTCTGTCTGTCTGTCTGTCTGTCTGTGTCTGGCTCCACCAGTGTATTTGCTGATGAACCTGCTTCAGACATTTTGAACTGCAGAATTCTCCCTCTCTCACTGTTGTCAACCTTTAAAATTTTGTATGTACCTTCTCAGAGTGTCTCAGTTAGGGTTTTTATTACTGTGAAGAGACACCATGACCAAGGCAACTCATCAAAGGTCAGCATTTAATTGGGGATGGCTTACACTTTTCGAGGTTCAGTCTGTTATCGTTATAGCAAGAAGCCAAAACAATTTTCTTTCAAGGAATGACTTTGTGCTGCTGTCACTGATCAGTTATGAGATTCCTTTACAGTTTTCCGATAGGATTGTCCCTTCAAAAGTTGCAAACAGTCCCATGAAGAGATTTATAGGCATTCCAGACATTAAAGGTGAATTTTGAGGCCCAGGGGAGAAAGCATAGTTGTAATTGCCTTTAGTGACCAAGCTTTCTCTCCAGCCCTAGTTTATTTTGAATTAAGAAAATATTTTGGGGACTGGCAACATGGTTCTGTGGGAAAGGGTACTTGTGGCCAAGTTAGGCTACTGGAGTTTGATTCCCCAGAACATACTTGGTTCAATGAAAGGCAATGGACACCTGCAAGTTGTCCACTGACCTCCACACATAAGGGTTGCTTTTCACAAAGAAATTATTTCCTTGTCAGAGTGAAATTTTGGGTAACAAGTGCTAAAGAAATACCAACTTCCCTATTTTGAAAAGAATGGGCTTACAATTTTAATAATGTACCACCCACAGAGACCATACCCTGCAGTCCCTTGGCTTTTAGTTGTAGTTCATACCATCATGTAAACTGATTATCTGTGTCTCACAGCTGTTCCACTCTTCCACCTGGAATTTTCTAGAAATGTTATAAAATTGCCTGGGTGACAGGTTAAGCTTTAATATGAAAAGGAGACTGATCATAAGTTTGAATGAGAAAAGTTGGACATTTTTCAAAATGATCACGCCCTGGACCCCTTACAGCTTACACTCAGTAAAGAGACACAGAGTCTTCACGACCTTGACTTTCACAGTTGGGAAAAGGACTGTGTTTGAATTTCTGAATTTTAATGTGAAGGAAACTTGTCTTAAATTAACCTAACTATTAAAGAATACCTCATTTAGCTTTGTGAGTATTTTAAATTCAGATTAATTTTTGCTAGCATTAATATTTCATGTAATTCCTGAGTAATTTTTATAACTGACAAAAAGGTCTCATTTACATTTATATCACAGGTGTTTGTGCAACAACTAAATACATATATATATATATATATATATATATATATATATATATACTTAAATTCAAGGTATAAAGTGCATATTTTAAAATAGAAGATGATTTCTGAGGACTGGGCCAGGTGAATTTTAAACATGAATTATTGACAAAATAACAAATAGGATTTTGCTACTATAAAAAAGACCTAGGATTCTTACGTAATAGTTTAAATATTCTTTTTTTCTTTTTTTTTATAGTTTAAATATTCTTAACTTATCCTGTTTTAGGCTTATATGATTTGTCTTGTGTTTTTAGAGCATCATCCCTTTGACTGCAGATTAACAAAGGTTCTTACTTTCTTTCCCCAACAGATATAAGCTTACCAAAGTCGGCAACCATATGCTACACAGCGGCCCTACTCAAAGCAAGAGCTGTCTCGGACAAGTAAGTGAGCGGTCACTCGTGTGCTCCCAATGCTGGCCAGATGTAAAGAGACCTGCTGTCAACTCTGAGGGTTTTCTCCAGAAGCTTCCTGAGGTCCTTTTGACCCTGCTTAAAAGCATGCATTTCCCCAAAGCTGCTGATCTTTTATTTCACTACTAGAAGGAGGAGGCGTCTGCCCCTACTTATTGTAAGGGTATGTGGGTTCCTAACATGGATTTAAATTACAGTGCATTCCTCTGGGCTGACTTTTTTTTCTTTACTTTTTATTTTTATTTTTTATTTTTTTGTCAGACAGTAAAATAAAAAAGACTGCTTGGGATTTACCCCCCCCAAAAAAAAAAACCTGTCCGTGTGTGCGTGTGCGTGTGCGTGTGCGTGTGCGTGTGTGCCCTTCCATTTTTGCTGTCTGTTACTGGGCCCTTCAGTGCAGTGGGGATGGTTCTCTCCTATTCTTTGCGTCACTCCTGGTCTGTTTACTTTGAGATACCACCTCAATGGGACATTTGCCCATTTTATTCAGGCAGGTGACTATGGCACATAGACATTTCACATATATCCAAGGGATGACCAGGCAGGTTAAAGAGAACAGACGGACTCCTTGTTTTTGAGTTCATAAATACATTTCCTGAGACAGTCCATCCCCTTTGCAGCATCTAAAGGCACAGAGCAGATAGTAGCCTCTGCAGTGTCAGACAGGTTTGCTGTTAAGTGTGTGTGCACTTAAAAACTGGAGTAATTTTCTTTTATTCTTTTTTATCCTGTAGATCGCCAGTACCTACTGCAACATCTTTTCTCCCTACACAGCGACTCCAGCTTGGGAGGGCAGGGCCAGGGTTGCCACAGCTTCCCCTGTGGTGTCTGCCTGCCAAGCACAGCTCTGGAGTTAGCCCTGGGTGTGAGGTGAGAAAGAGATTGCATGGTCTGGTCTTTTTTTCATTCCCTTGGGCAGGTGTCTTGCCCACAGTTGGGGCATGCACACTCCCCTCCGGCACAGCCCACGCAGGCTTGCCTGCTGCTGAAGCTGCGGCCACTTGGCCTCCATGGCAACACTGACATTGGGTTGGGAGCCTACCTTAAAATTCTCCCCAGTTCTGTTTTGAACCAAGTGCGTTCTTCTGTAACCTAGGATTCTCTTTTTCCTACACTGTCTGCCCTTGTCAGTCCTCCCTCTGCTCCCACCTAAGCAGGGACCTTGCAGAAAATTTAGATTAGCTATTTAGACAGTGAGTTGACAGATGAATATAATTCCTGCCGCCATTCAATGTAAGCACGCTTTCTGCTTCCGCTGGGGTTTTTGTTTGCCTTGGTGGAAGGGGTAACTCAGTGATCCCCTGTTGAGGAAGTTTGGAGAGCTTGTGCCCATGGCTCACTGTGCTCTTAAGGGCCCTTCATGTATACTTGCTCCCTGGGTAGCTGCCCAAGCAGTGGTCCCAACTGCATGATGTTTGTCTTTCTGCTTTTCAGATTCTCTCCAGAGGCTGCATCTCGGCGGGGGCTGAGCACAGCAGAGATGAATGCAGTCGAAGCCATTCACAGAGCTGTGGAATTTAATCCGCACGTGCCAAAAGTGAGTCTTTGGTTCCCCTAGGAGCTCATTATGATGGAAGAGAAAGCGTTTGTTAACCACAATGCCCTGTCCCCAGGATCCCCAGTTATAAAACAATGGATTGCAACTAGCAAATGTTGGGACTGTGCAGTCTATAGGCATTTATAGCCTCATTTTTGAGGGGGGAAAAACCCTACACTCAAGGGAACTTGGGGCAAGGGGGCTAGTTTTCAGGGTAAACGTAATAAAATAAATCCCTAGACTTTATTTGGGCAACTAGGTTCAGAAAGTTTGAAACTAACTGAGGTGGAGATCCTGAGAGTTTGATAGGAATTTTACAGCAGTTTTAGTCTGGTCTGAGGCAAAGTAGGGAAATAAACTTTATGCACAAAACTCATTAAAAACACCAACTAATGTGACAATCTATGCCTCTACAGATAAATGTAGGTTATCAGTACTGGCTAGAGAAAAATAGGAGAAACCCCAGAGTATGCAATGTTTTGATTTGTGAGTACTGCTTTACGACTTACACATAGTGAAAGGATGGTCTTCGCTGTTCAAACCCCATGGTCCAGAGTTGGTAAATGCTCCATAGTTTTCACATATTCTTTCTGAAGTTGATTTTAACAGAATCAAATCAAGACAAAAGATATTTCTGGAATGTTTTATTCATGAGCTGAATGTATATTTAGGGCTTCTCTGAATTATCTGCACTGTGGTAGGTGGTTAGCTGTGGGGCTATTGCAGTCTGTTGATAGGAAGCACATTTAGCCTCTAAGAAATTAATCCTGCAGCTCACATCTGATGCTACATGGCAGGAAGTATTGGGAAAAGATCTGATGAAGACCTCCTGGTGCAAATGACAAAGAAATCCTCCTTGTTTGCGTTGTTACAGAGCTATAGAAAGAAGATGGAGGGGAGAGGGAGAGAGAGAGAGGGAGGGAGGG